GTGTGTGTGTGTGTGTGTGTGTGTGGGTGCCTCCTGTGGTGCTGCTGCGGCGCACGCCCCCTTTCGCCTTTGCTCCTCTCTCTCTCTCTCTCTGGCTTGACTGCCGCACACGTACGCAACTGCTGCCGGGTCGCGGGTGTGTGTGTGTGTGTGTGTGCTGCGAAGAAGGAACGGATAAAGCGAAGGAAAAAGGAAAGGGATAAAGGGGAACGAAAGAAACAACACAAAGGAAAGGCAAAAAAAAAGGGGGGGATAAAAAGAACACGAACAAGACAGCCAGAGGTAGCAGAAAACAGTAACAGCAACAAGAATAACTGGAAAGGTTCTTGTGTGGTGTGTTTTCTCTTCCCCCTCCCCCAGACCTTCAGCCAGAACTTACATAGTTGACAGTTCGCTGTCGTTGTGGCTGCTGCTACGGGTTTACTGCACGTTGCCCTGCTTCCGTGTGCGTGCGTGTGATTATCTGCGCTTGCTTGGGTGAGGCGGCAACAAGTGCGGTATCGGCAGCAACAGCAGCTGAACAGGCTCAGGGACGAGAGAGTGGGCCACGTGCGCGACGCAACTGCGGCGGGTGTTTGACGGTCAACCGATCAAGCAAGCAGAACAAGAGGGAGCAGAGGTGAACTCGCGCTTTACACATAGGATAGGACGCGTGCAGAAGGAGTAGCAAGACTCAAGGCAAGGCGAAGCTCTATTTTTTTCCTCTTCTTCTTCTTCTTGCTGTTGTTGTTGTGGCAGCTTCTCTTGTTTAATTAGTTTTGGTTTCACCGTCTCTCCTCTTCACCCCGGGTGAATTTTTGTTGTTGTTGTTTTCGTTTCGTTTGCGTCACCGCGTGAGCAACTACCAGTGTTGTTGCTGATCTCTGTTGCGAGCCTTTTGCGTTGAGAAGGCAACAGCAGTAGCAGCAGCCAGGGGACACTACTGCCGGAAGTCTGCAGCTGTGGAGGGATTTGATTAAAGTAGAGTCGTCACTGCGTGGGGCAAGTATACACAAGCGTGTTGCGTGCGTGTACTTCCACATTTACTTGCGTTAGAATCACAAAAAAGAAAAGGCGGCGGTGGTGGGGATCAACCTCGGGACGGCAGCTGCTTGTGAGTAGACGCAACAAAAGGCAAGGAAAAGGCGCGTGTGCTTGTCCGAAAGGAAGGAGCGTGTGAGGAATAGTGGGCACTCTTCTTGTTTGCTAACTGCTACGGTACGTTGCTGTGACGTCGTCGGGTGGGGTCCTCGTGTTTTTTTTTTCTTCTGTGCTTTTGGATCACAGTGGGTCCTGCTGAAGTACGCGTGGAATTGAGACCGAGGCGGACCTGAAGGCGGAAGAAAAAGAACCGCAGCAACATCTATACAAGGATAAGGAATACCCTTGTGTAGGAGCTACTGCTTGTCTGTCTGTGTGTGCGTGTGTGTGTGTGTGTGTGTGTGCGAAGACGAAGGTGGCATTGTATAGTGCTTTTTTTTGGTGTATCCCACTCAGAGAATAAGGAGTGTGGAACATGTACAATAATCACACAACTGTAGGATTAAGGAGCGGCAACGTGTCGCAGACAAACAACCACACCACGGAGCCAAATCAGCGCTTCACACCAAACGCCGAGACGCTAGCGCCGTACCCAGATGGGTTTCGCGTGCCACAGCAGCAGGAGGAATGCAGGCCTAACCCAGCGTTTTTGCGCACAGCAAACAGCCGCGCATTACGCACGGCACCAGCGCTTTTGTCGCGGCCAGCAAGTGCCACCGCAGGCATAATTACAAGTAGCTTTGTGCCGAAGCCAACATCGATGCGTAGCACAACAACAAACCCAGTAGTGGTAGGCATCATTAACAGCAGTTACACCAACGGCCTTGGGTACTGGACAGTTGTGTACAAGACAAAGAATGGTGCCCGCGCTGGTTCTTCGAAGGTGATGCCCCCACGGGGAAAGGGGGCCCTCACCTTCGATAGCGTTGTTGGTGCAATTGAGGAAAATGCGAAGCTGCTGAACTTCGCAGTGCTGTACGTGCGGTACCTTGACAAGGACTTTGACGCGTACGCGCTGTTGACGCCACGTACTGTGCAGAATTGCACCGATGCGTTCGAGGCTGTGGTGGAATTCCCGGAGACAAACTCGGAGTCGAGCCGCACGCAGCCGCTGGAAGGCAGCGCTGGACTATCGAGCGCCGGAACAAAGACCGTCGATGAGGTGGAGAACGCAGAGGCGCGTGGAGAAAACAACACTCTAGTGGAGAACCTCGAGGAGAGAATAAACTACGGCCCGACGTCGGCCGTGCTCGAAGAGCACTCTGGAACAGCACCAGAGGTACCAGTAATAACAACGGTGCCAGAAAAAGGACGAGGAGGAGGATTGTTCCGTAATGCTCCACCGCTCTCGGGGCAGCAGCAGCGGCGGCTGCGGTCTGCGCGCACACGGCGTGAGTCGGAGCGCAAAGCGCTGGAGCTGGCGGCAACGCAGCAGAGGGATACACAGTTCGAAGAGGAGAAAAGGCGTGACAGGATCGTGATGGAGGAGCGCGGATCGCGGCTCAACCTCAAGGTGATGGAGAGCCGCCACCTCTGTGCTCTGAAGAAGGCTGTGAGGCCGTTGCCGAGCGTGCACTACAGTGACGCGAGGCCGCTCCCGCCCACCGTGAGCGTACACCCGCCGCCGGCGGAAGAGCAGCGGCTGGTGCTGCCACCCGTCGTGAAGAAGTCGCTCTGCATCGTTCTCAACGGGGACGAGGAATGCCCGCTGCTCTGCGAGGATCGGGACCAATTGTACGAAGCCATCGCACAGGACGTCTCGTCGTGCCTCGACGTCCCACGCGACAACATCGCAGTGGAGAGCAACAAGGCCGACTCTCCCTCGGTGGAGATGATAGTACGTCACGACGGCACACGTAGCGTCGAGGAGTTGCAGAGCATGATCGTCACATGCGAGTTCCCCAGCGTCTCGCAGGTGCACGAGCAGTCGCATCAGCACTCGCCATCGTTCGCGTCGACGACAGAGACGACTGAGATAACTGACCCGGAGAGGATGGTGATGCTTCCACCAGCGGCGCCAATCGCCGCTCCACGCGCAACATTGGCGGGGAATAGTGCAGGCATCAGACCACTTGACAAGAAGTCACTCAGCGAAAAATTAGAAACGTGGCTTCCTGCGTCTCGCAACGTGGAGCCGAATCTCGCGGCTTCTTCCAACACAACGACACCAACCGAGCGTGCACGGGTGTACCTGCGCAAACGGCTTGAGTCCCTGAATGAAACTCTAGAGGGGCTCCAACGGCTGCGCCACACGGGCTTAACGCCGCAATCTCACTTAGTCCCGCGTCACACAAAACCACCATTGTCCGGCGAAATCGCCTTCTCACGTACTGGCGCCGATGCTTCACATTTTACGTACACGTCATCCGCAGAACCAGACTCCTCTCGTCCGGTGGACCACGCTGCATTACCGGCAGACGACTGGAAACCGTCGCAGCACCACGAGGAGCAGCGAGAGAAAGATTTCACAACAACGGGCGAGCCCAAGCACCCCCAACTGGACGCAGCAGCAATAGATTACCAATCAAACGAGGAAATTGAGGACAGCGCCGCCCAACTGCAGACATCTCTGCAAAAGGAAATAGAAACTCTCAATAACGCCCTAAACGCACTCCAAACACCGCTCCGTGGTGACAAAGAAAGATCATCGCATCCAGTGCACTCAACAACAGAAGAAACCGATGACCATGGCATCATCACGACACCACAAGGCGCTTATACAGAAGCCATTGAAGAATCACAAAACGACAACGTAGAAACTACTGCACATCTTGAGGCGCCAACAGAAGACAACGCAGCAGAGGAGAAACGCACCTTACACGTCTACATTACCATACCACAACTACTAGAAGAATCCCAACAACCGAGCATATCCACCCACTTCAGAAACACTCAAGAAGACTGGGAAAGCACTCCGATTATTCCTACAAAGGAGGCCATCCAACTACCGGTGGAGGACGAAACCATCACCACCACAACAAAAGATATCACAACTACGTCTCGTATCGCTGACAAACACAGTGAGCTCCACGCTGCCGAGAAGGAGGAGAGCGTGCACGAGCCTGAGGAGATGCGCGAGCTGGACGAGGTCGAGTCTCCAGTCAAGGCTGAGGAGCCCGAGGTGGCGCCGCTGCACGCTGCCGAGAAGGAGGAGAGCGTGCACGAGCCTGAGGAGATGCGCGAGCTGGACGAGGTCGAGGCTCCACGCCTTCATGAGACGGACGGCGGTGCTGTGCCAGAGGAGGCTGGGCAGCCACAGCTGTACACGACCGAGGAGGCGGAGGTGGAGCCGTTGCCGCTGGA